ATGAACCATTGTGCCCAGGGAGGAGGAAACGGATTAAGCCCACTTTTATTTCTTCTCCGAAAAGGGAAGGGATTATTAATCACAAGGCTTTAAAAAAGAGAGTGGAATGTAGGACACATATCAAGGATTATATGTAATGGGGGGGGGGTGTAATCCTCCATGTCTCCCCCCTCCCCTTTCTATACATTGATACATTGATCCACTACTGTCTGGGTCCCCGTCCCCCCCCCAGGAGAAGGCTGGGAGTGGGTGCTTTCACAGGGAGGCAGGTCAAGCAGCAGTTTTTGATTTCAGAGATGGGTGGGGAAGGGAAGTCGGGCGTTTGCCAAATGTTACACGGTGACATTAGAAATCACTACGCGGCAGTTGGAAACTGCTGTGCGGCGTTTTCCTGCCAAGTGCGCGGCCGCACAGCTTAGAGGGAACAACACCCTTCAAAGTTAAAACAGCACTAAAATAAGTGACTTACAACTGATATTCACATTTAATGACCGTTGCAGGATCTCCATTGTCACATGATCAAAATTCAGATGGTTGATGACTGACTCATTTATGACGGTCACAGTGTCCCATGATCCCCTTTTGCCATCTTCTGACAAGCAAAGTCAGTGTGGGAGACAGATTCACTTAACATCCAGGTCACTAACTTGTCAACTGAAGTGAGTCACTTAACAACTATGGCAAGGAAAGTCATAAAATGGGTGAAATTCACTTAACAACTGTCACTTAGCAACAGACATTTGGGTTCAGTTGTGGTCATAAGTCAAGGAGTTCCTGTAAAGAGGTTACAAACAATAGTTGTCTGGGGGCAGTCAAGAGACCCTCTGCTGAGGGTACCTGTTCAAGCAGGAAGCAAAGCTCTTGGGGCCCATCCAGTCCCAGTAGAATCCAATATCTGTTGCATCCTATTTATTTTCCTAATGGAAATAGAACTTCACGGGAAGATGCTCTCTGGGCCTTTGTGTGTCGGCTGTTTCTGCAGAACTCCCAGCCATGCTGTCACCTGCAGGAATTGTCCCATAGAAAAATTCAGCAAAGGGACCTGCATCTGGGCTTGCTAGTTTACTTGCTTTGACTAGGTAAGCTCATAGCTCACCTGTGTATCCTCAAGCAGCATCAGCTGCTGCAAATAAGAAGAAGGGCTGCTTCAGATTCCTTCCAATTAAAGAGAAAACCATACCAGGAATGGAAATTACGGAGGAGGTCAATCTGCAGGGACTTTTGAAAGTTACCTCGTAATCAGCCTGGGCAGCCTGGACAACTGGTTGCCCCAGTGCAGGCGTTGGATGAGATGCCCCTGCAAGGCCTCTGCCTAGCTGCCCATTGCAGATGCCCTGGCAGGAAATGAAGCCATGGAAAGTCAGGGCCCAAGCAAGCACCCTTGATACCTAGGCAAGAGACAGAAGCAGCAGTCATCTCCCCACCCCCTACTCCCTCCCCACCCGCATTGGCAGTTGTCTCCCTAACCTAGGCAGGGCCTGACCCTTCACCACCACCGCCAAAGGAGGCAGCTATTGGGGCAGCTTTTGCTGCCAACACTATTTCCATTGACAAAAATGGATAACGTCATGTTGAGTTGTCCTAGATCCAGCATGGCAGCCCAAATGTGCTTTGAATGTCCCAGGGCAGTGGGGGCGAACCTTTTTTGCCTCGGTGGCCAAAAGCACACACACACGCTCTCACGCATGCGCTCACCTGCCCACCCTCATAATTTAATTCCCCCCTGTGCAGTGTCCCCATGTGACACACACACACTGCTGCCCCTACGCATGCGTGCACGGCTCTCTCTAGAGCCTGGGGAGGGCGAAAACAGCCTCCCTGACCCTCTGGAGGCTGGAAACGCCCATTTTCTGACTTCCAGTGGGCCAGGTAGATCCATTTTGTACCTTCCCCAGGCTCCAGAGGCTTCTCTAAAGCCTCCTGTGAGTAAAAAAAACAGCCAGAAATCAGCTGGCCAGCATACACGTGTGAGCTGGAGCTGATAGGGCAACGCCTCGCATGCCCTCAGAAATGGCTCAGGTTCCTGCCATAGGTTCACCATCAGGGTCCCAGGGGATGCGAGAATGGATGTTGCCCCCCTAGAGCGGCAGCCTGGAGGGAACCATTAACTCCTGTATGGGGCTTTCGTTGGAAACTTGTGCTGTGGCCATAATTGGGATGCCTGGCTCTGCCCAAACCCCGCAGCTTTCCAGAAGGAAGTTTGCGCCTGCAGCTGGGACTCCTGGGCCTGAAGCCTCCACAACCAGAGGCAGCCAATTCGGGAGGCCCCAGAGGCTCCAGGCAGGGCATTCCCAGGATGGAGCAAGGCTCTTCTTCCTCGCTGCAGTGGCATCTGTTGCCTTCCTGGGAGGGCGGGGGGCGACCAGATGACCTTCGAAGCCCCTTCTGGGAATCCATCCCGCTTTCCTCCTGCTGTGAGTCCCTCCGGAGGGCGCCGGTTGGGGAACCGCTGGACAGGCCCGCCAGCCCCGCCTTTCGCCTCCGGGGATCCCGTCCCCTTTCTGGATTTCGGGGGCGGGGCTTGTGAGCCCCTCGCCCCGCCCCCGGTTGCCGCGGCGACAAGAGGCCTCCGACAACACAGGGCGGGAGGCAAAACGAGTCCCGTTCGAAAGTAGTCCGTCTCCTGGCGACGGGGCGCCGCTTGAAGGCGGCCGGCGAAGGCGGAGCGGTTTCTGGATCGCAGCCGACGCCTGTCTCCCTCCGCGCCGGGGCCTCGGCGTGAGGGAGGCGCGCGAGGCGGCTGGCAGGCGGCCGGTGCTGAGGGGGCCCGGCGGAGGAGCAGGCCCGCGGCGACGGGATGTTCAAGAACACGTTCCAGAGCGGCTTCCTGTCCATCCTCTACAGCATCGGGAGCAAGCCGCTGCAGATCTGGGACAAGAAGGTGCCGGCCGGTGACTGGGCCGGCGGGGAAGGCCCGGCCTCCTCGGCCTTGCCCGCCCTGCGCCTGCTTGCCGCGCCTGGCCTGAGCGGGACGGGGAGCCCGGAGACCCCGGAGGCGCTGGGCGGAGGGCTGGGCAGGCCGCGCGTGGGTCCGGCCAGGCGGGCGACGGTTGCTCCTCTCGCTTCCCCGGCAGGTGCGGAATGGCCACATCAAGCGCATCACCGACAATGACATCCAGTCACTGGTGCTGGAGATCGAGGGCACCAACGTCAGGTAGGAGGGGGGAGAAGGGCGGCCTTTCCGGAGGACGTTTCTTCTTCCCGCTCGCTGCCCGGGCTCTGCTCCCACAGGCAGGCCTGGATCTCGCAGCTGGGCCGTCGGGGGGGGGGGGAGTTGGGGGATCGGACGGGGGACTGGGGGGTCGCCCGGGTGGCAGCTGCTGTTTCCCCTCCACAGCACCACGTACATCACGTGTCCCGCTGACCCAAAGAAGACGCTGGGGATCAAGTTGCCGTTTCTGGTGATGATCATCAAAAACCTGAAGAAGTACTTTACTTTCGAAGTGCAGGTGGGTGTGCAGCCTTGTCCAGAGGGAGGAGAATCCTGGCTCCCCCCCAGGGGTCTTAGTGGCTTAACCCCCACCCCACCCCCACTAGGGGCAGGGGAGGCTCCGGCTGCCCTTCACCTTAACGCCGCCTCAACGGCATCTCAATACTAGCGGAAGGGTCTCCTTCTCTTAGGTACTGGATGATAAAAATGTGCGCCGACGGTTCCGTGCCAGTAACTACCAAAGCACCACCCGGGTCAAGCCTTTCATCTGCACCATGCCCATGCGCCTGGATGATGGCTGGAACCAGATCCAGTTCAACCTGTCGGACTTCACTCGCCGGGCCTATGGCACCAACTACATTGAGACCCTGAGAGTCCAGGTAGAGAGTTCGAGGGCCGAAAGCTTCCCAGGGGCTGATCAATTCCTAGTGATCCCCATGAAGTTACTTCTCCTTAAAAAGCTTTGGTATACCAAAGGGGGAGGGGGGCAGGAAAAGCAGAAAATCGTGTCTCTCTGGAGAGCTGGTCCTCCTGACTGTTGGGTAATCATTGAATAATTCTTCCAAACAAGTTGTGGTATAAAACACATTCTGTAGCTGTTTCATTTGTCCTGTGAATTCACAAACTAAAAAAAGTGTCCTTTCATTAAAGCCAAGGAATTTTCTGAGCAAAACTATAGGAGAGAACATTTGTTTTAAGGAACTACAGCCTCTTCCTATGAGCCAATGTTGGGTTTTGAGGATGGCATTTTCAACAATTATTTGAACTCCCAAGATATCAAATTGACACAAAATAATGCATAAAGAAAGAGCAGGACTTGTTTTAAGAGTCAGAGGGAGGAGGATCTGTTATTTCAAGTTACAAAATTTACCAATAATGTAAGATGGACCCCCTAAAATTGTATTTATTGCTTCAAATGACTGATATTTTTTTAAAAAATAGTAATACCTAATTTTAATTCAAGATACTCTTGAATTAAAGCAGCTCTTGCTGCATCTTCAGGTATGATTTCCTTTTCAGATCCATGCAAACTGTCGCATCCGCAGGATTTACTTCTCTGACAGACTTTACTCTGAGGACGAGCTTCCTGCTGAGTTCAAACTTTACATTCCTGTCCAGAACAAGGCAAAGGTGAGCAGGGAGGTGGATGGGATGTTCTGTTCCATGAAGAGTCCTACAACTATAAGTCTCATTAGGGCAGTTGTGGGTGAGAGACCTATATTTGCATTTGGTGTTCTTAGCAAAAATATCTGAGGCCAAAAAATCACTTGCTCTCAATGGAAGTTGGTGTCTTGCTTGTGTTTCCAAAATAAATTCTGGAAGGGCTCCCTGTGCCAATGTTCAAGCATTGCTCATACCAGGAATTCACCCAGAAGCATCTCCCCAGAGAAATGGCTGTATAGTCCCCGCTTGAACACATTGACTGAAAAAGAGACCACGTTTCTCTTAGTCCCCCCCCCTCCCGAGTTGCTCTTACTATTAGAATGCTTTTCTATCATTTGGCATTTGAAGGAGGCATTTTAGTAAAGGAGTTGGTCTCACAGTCTGTGGGCACTGCTGTTGTGAGAATGCACAGCACATGGGCCCTGAGAAGTTTAGGGAGCCCAGCAAGTTCCCCCCTCAGCAGGCCGCATTTCAAACCCCAGTTTCATTGTGGTTGAGCGCCATGTTCCCGACAAATCCTGTCTTGTGTTTCTAGAGATGTATGCTGCCCAAAGAGTTGACTTTTGTGTCCAAGTAAAAGTTTGCTATGTGTATATTGAATAACATTGTCTCTTTGCACATGTTGCCCAATGCAGCAATGATGGCGTGATGGGGAGCCTCCGGCAGAAACAATGTGAAGATGCTGATGGAAGAGTATTTTTTTAAAATTAGAAACAAAATGTAGGTGTGGATTTCCTTGAGTAACTATATTTAATAACAGTTGATATCTGTGATGCTGGGACCAAACAAAACAAAATATATCATTGTTCCGTGTGAGAGATGGATCGGGCTCCACTTTGAAGTTGTGGATCACTCCTAGGGAGACCATGAATCGTGGAACTGATTTGCCTAGCAAGTGGAGGCTTTTGTTGAAGCAGTTCTGAAACCCTGGTGCCCTCACAGATGCCAGTGGTTTCCTTCTTTGCTCTGTCTCTGTGTTTGCCCCAAGTGCGTGTGAGCTACTCTTGTCCTGAAAGCTGCTATTAAATATTTGATTTCCTTTGTAAGGCTGTGCTGGTCTCTCTTGGCTATTTGGAGCCAAAGGTTCCTCCCTGCCAGTGCAGTGTAAAAGCACAGGGGACAGCTTCTCTGTACACCAAGAGTTGGTGCAGAGTCCACAAATTGAACTGAACCATAATAGTTGGTCCATAAATCATGCTAAGCCACAATACATTTTTGCTTCTTGCTATGTGTCCCTCCTGAGCAACAGAAATGGGCATTTTATTGATTGGGAAAGCAAAGGCAGCCTTTGTCTATGAGGAGACCTAATGGGCAGAGCTGCTGCCAGTCCATCTAGAGAATAGCCAGGCTGCGAGAGGTTTGGCGAACTGCATCCTTCATAGGTTTGCTGAGCTCCCCAGGATGGCACTGTAAGAAGAACCCTTGCTAGTCTAGAAGAGATTCTGTCAGCATCTGTCTCCTGGTGACTAGTTGATTTTTTTCCCAGCAGGAGTGAATGACATTTGCAGGCTGGTTCTCCCTGATATTGCAGATGTTTTCTAAACTTTGCTCTTTCATTAATCATCCCAGATAGCTTGGCTTGGCTTCTGCTACAGACATCTGACAAAGGACAGAGCTGGTCAATTTTTGTTCTGGTTAGCTTTTGGTTTGCAGCAAGATCAGGGCGGAACTTCACACATTCTGATAAAAATTTGACCAAATCCGATGTTGACTGACCATGATTACTTTGATTTATTAGATTCATATGTTGCAGCCAATAACAAATAAAGTTATAACCAGAAGCCAGCATTGGTTTGTTAAAAACAGATCTTGCCAAACCATTCTTATTTCATTCTTTGACAAAGTGACTAAATTAGTAGACTAACAAAACGCTGTGGACATACCGGTAGTATACTTAGATTTCAGTAAGGCATTTGACAAAGTAGACAACAACCTATTTCTTGATAAGCTAGAAAAAAGTGGGATAGACAGCATCACCACCAAATGGATTTGTAACAAACAGTACTCAACAAGTAGTCCTTAATGGATCTACATCTACATAGAAGGAAGGAAGCAGTGGGGCACCACAAGGCTCTGTCTTAGGCCCAAAACTCTTCAATATCTTCATAAATGACTTACTGAAATCTAAGTA